GGGTGGCTGAAGGGAGCCTGGTGTGCCCTGCTTAAGAGTTTAAACTTTATTCTCCAGGAGGGAGTTGAGGGAAGAGGAAATGGAAGTTGGGGAAGGTGTGCTAAAGGGCAGCCACAGTAGAAGAACTTGATCCATAAAGATAACTGAAGGGTAATTTGGAATCTGTGAGCTGGAGAGTTCTATTATAAAGTAATTGCAATCACCTAGCAAGAGAGGATGGCGCCTGAGCTAGCCAGAAGCAGCAGGAAAGGGGGAGAGGGATTCACCAGGCGCCTTGCAGGAACAATCTGAAGGACTTGAGACTAATTAGGTGTAGGGCTGAGGAAGAGGGAGAGGCTCAGGCTGCCTGTCAAGTTGCCAGTGTATGTGATTGAAGGATTGATTATACCATTTACTGGGATAGGAAAAACAGTGGCAGGGACACATAGGAGTTTTGGGAGGAACAGAGATGGATTCCGTTTTAGAGAGGTTGACACTTAGAATGGCCGTGGTGGTCCAGTAAGTAGCTGTATCACAGAGTTTCCTCTCTTGTCCAGTTGGCAGAGCTCCAAATAACTGAAGATTTCATTCTGAAGTGACTTAGGAGCAGTCCGATCTTTTAAATTGACTGAGAAAGATTAAGAGAAAGCCCTTCGGTCAAAAGTGATTTGCAATAATGACAGGCAATGTATGTAAGAGTCTTACTCTGTTTTATCACATAGGTCCTCTATAAAGTAGGACATTTTATAGATGGGAAAACTGAGGCTTAGGAAAAGATTAAATGTCATGCCCAAGATCATACAGCTAAAAGAGGAGTAGAGCTGGAATTCCTAGCCGGAATTCAAAATTCAGTGGCTTCTCATTGTCATTATGGTCAAGACTACCATAGTGACTTCTAAGTTGTGACTTTCAAGACTCTGTGTCATCCGATGCCTACCTATTTTTCCTTTCTCACCATGGGCCAATCTCCTTTGAACATATCATGCTGCCTCCCCCGGTCCCCCAGGGCCTTTGCTCTTGCTTCTGATGGGAATGTTCTTTTCAACCCTCGTTTTCATAATTACCTTGATAATTATTCTTCATATCTTAGCTCGCTTAAAGAAGTAAGTCTCTTTGACCTTGTGGAATAGGTCAGGCACTCCAGAAGTTCGTATAGCGACTTGTACTGTTTTTTTCCCGAACTTGCTACAGTTGGCAGTTATATATTTATATCTCTGATGAATGAGTGACGTGTCCCCTTCACTTAGTTAATTGTACTATAGAGATAGTGTCTGTTACTGTTCATCAGTGTATCTCTAGCACATAGCACAGCACCTGGCAGAGAACAGGAGACTATTTTTCGGCATGAAAGAATGATTTGTTTTTTTGAAGGAGAGAATGACTTCAAAGCCCCAACTTTTAATCATCCTGCCGTACAAGAAATGACTTGGGCTAGGCTCAGTGGGTCATGCCTTTAATCCCAGTGCTTTGGGAGACAAGACGGGAGGATTTCTTGGGGCTAGGATTTCAAGACCAGTATGGGCAACATAGAAAGATCTTGTTCCCACAAAAAAGAAAAAAAAATGTAGTTGGGCATGGTGGCATGTGCCTATAGTCCCAGCTACACGGGATGCTGGGTGGGGTACTTGGTTGAGCCCTGAAGTTCAAGGTTGCAGTGCTTGTGCTGTTGTACTCCGGCCTGGGTGATAGAGTGAGACCTTCATCTCCCCCAAAAAAGTATTGGAATATATCATTTAAAAGAAATAAACATTTTCTGTTATAAATGGAAGAAATGTATATAATGACAACCACTGAAAATAGATTAGACAACATGAAGAATTGGATGATTTGTTGATACCTGACTCTCAGCTATGATATTGAAAATTGGCTAAAGAGCCTGTAAGAAAAAACAGGATGAAGAAACCAACAGTTGTCATTACTTTGAAGAGTGATAAAGAGATGAGTTATTCAAAACTGTAGAATAATTTGAGATAATAAAATGAAAAATAATATTCATAGACTTAACCTTCCTGGGTGACACTTACAAAGGTATTTACAGACTCAGATATAGCCAAGTAGAGGGAGAACACATGACCACAAATGTAATCAAGGAGCCCACGGTCATCTGCTAGCCCTGTATGTTTTAGTAGGTTCTGCTATTAATCAGGTATGCTAAGGCCAACAGACCAGGAGATGATTGTCATGAAAAAGACAACTTTGTTGTACTCACAGATTACAACTTTGTTGTACTCACAGATTATGAGAGAGAGAGAGTGCTTGTCTTATGGAGGATAAGAAAAAAAGCACTGGATTTTTCACAAGGCAGATGGAGAGACAGGAACTGTGGGCAAGTGTTTTATTGTGATTTCCACGGGAAGGAATGGGTGAGGCAGAGTAAGTAGGCTTAGGCTTGGTCAGTTTGAATAATTGATCCTGGGGTGATTAGGGCAGGTGCACATGGGCTCTGATGGAAGAGTTCAATAAAGGAGGTACTTGGGGATGGGGACCCTAGGTTGGTTGGTTTGTATTTGAAAAGTGCACCCCCGGGAGGGTGGTTTCTCCTGCAGAGGGAGTCAGCCATGAGGGAGGCAACAGGGCAAGGCAAGGTAACTCAGACATATTATCAGGTTTTCTAGAGTAAGGTGTGTCCGACATATGCCTGCAGAACAGATGTTGAAGCAGCCAGTTTACAGGAGCTGGAAACTTGGCTAATATGCTGTGGTGACCCACTTGGTACCTTTTATGAAGTTTGCAATCTGTTCATTTCCAGCAGAAATGAGAATAATAATAACTGATCTGATTCTCTACTGAACTATGGTCCTGGGGTTCTTAACCTGTCATGGGCCATTGACTCCTTTGGTGGCCTTATAAAACCTGTGGGCCCATTCTTAGAATAAGTGTATTTTAATGCATGGAGTAAAATGAATTGGTTTACAAGGGAAATTAATTATGTTGAAATACAGTTGTCTTTCCAGATTAAGAATCATTGAGCCCCCATTCATCAAAGCATATAGTTCAGACATTTAGACTGAGCCTAACTGCTATAGACTACCTCTCACCCTCCTTTTAAAAAAGGAATTCTGGTCTGCGCACGGTGACTCACACCTGTAATTCTAGCACTTTGGGAGGCAGAGGGAGGAGGATTGCTTGAGCCCAGGAATTCAAGATCAGCCTAGGCAACATAGCAAGACCTTGTCTCTATAAAAAGTAAAAAAAAAAAAAAAAAAAAAAAAAAAAAAAGCCAAGCTTGGTGATGTGTGCCTATAGTCCCAGATACTTGGGAGGCTCAGGTGGAAGAATCCCCTGAGCCCAGGAGGTCAAGGCTGTGGTGAGCCATGTTTGTGCCACTACATTCCAGCCTGGGCAACAGAGTAAGACTCTGACTCAAAAAAAAAAAAAAAAAAAAAAAAGAGAAACCCTGTGTGCTGGGCAGGCTAATCTCACTCTCTGTGACACATGTCATGCTCATTTCTAAACTTGGGAGGCAATCAGTGTCTGAGCCTGGAGCTCCAAAGCCAGAGAGCTTGGATCTGAATCTCAGCTATGCCACTCAGGGTCTGTGAGGCCTTCAACAGGTTACTTCACTTTTCTGTGCTTCATGGCACTTTTTACAGCCCATAATTATCTCTTTTGTTTATTTATTGCCTGTGTCCTCCCAAGAGGCTTCAAGAGGCTGAGATCTTGTTTCTCTTATTTATTGTGAGTCCAAACCATACCCAGTGCAAGACAGATAGTAGGAGGTAAGTAAATGTTTGAAATGAATGATGGAAGAGTGAATTCACTAGCTGATTTTTCCAAGCAGATACCATCTTTCACTGTTCAAGGACATAGGTCTCTACACGTTCTGCTTACGTTTGAACATTTATCCAGTTAGCATGTTTCAGGGGTACCTCTTGAGTCAGCGCAGATTCATTTCTACCTCATATAGTCATTAGATCAGCATTTAACGCTAAAGCTGTGGCCCTGATGGCAATTGATGGTCATTAAGATGCCAGAAATTATTGAAAGCCAGGTTAAGCTGAATTTTGCTATGTTGTGCTTAAGCGGATAAGGCACATCTTGAAAAGATTTCATCAGAATAGGAAAGGGCTTCAGGCCGTAGGGGTTAGCATGCAGCTTTTAGAAAAGTTTCCCAGGAAAACTCATTCTCAACATGTTTTGTTTTTTTTTTCTTTAACTTTTGGATTATGAACAATTTAAAACATATACCAAAATAGAAAGCACAGGATTACTCATTGTCAATTGCTTATTACTCAGTTTCCGTAATTATCAACACACCTTTCTCCATTTCTCACCTAACCTTTTCTAGTCACGATTATTTATTAAACCATATCCCAGGCATCATTATTCTTCTTTACAAGCTTTCATCAAGTCTTTAGTTCTTCCTTGAGTTTGTACAAAAAAAGTAGGACCCATATAAATAGTGGGTTCTTATCTGTTTTCTGAATAATGAGTTGAGTATCCAGCATTCTACAAAGATGATTGGTGAATTTTATTCAAGTATTATTATGAATTTATAGATTATAAAATTTTAGCAAAAAATTTTCAAATTTTGTTTGAAACACTATTTTGTTTTAGTAGTGTTATCTTAATGTTCAAATTGTTGACTTTTAGCCAATAACCATTTCAAATCAGCTTCTGTGAATTTTGGGGGCAGTATTTAATTGCCTAGTAGTCTTATTTAATTGCATCTTTGCTTTAAGTTTGATGTGTTTTAGGTTCATCATTATGGGTTTGACAATTTGGTTGTTCTGTGGCCTCCTCATCTTAGACATTTTTTGCCCTGAACCTGGAACCTGGAACCACTTAATAGTTTAGTTTTCTGTATCTGATTTGGTAGCATTCTATTTGGTGGCTGTAACATGGTTGTGCAAAAGAATGGCAGATATTAATAGTAATGGTAAATTTCAACAGGTAGCAAATGGTAATTAGAAAAAAACATAAAGATTATGTAACAGAAATTCTTAATTTTTCTTTTATTAATGTGCAGTGAATGTTGCGTAAAGTCCCTTGGTAACCAATTTGTATTTTTGTCTTCCCAGTTAATGTCCATCAGTGTGTTGGCAGTTTCTGCTTGGATGAGGGACTACCTAAATAATGTTCTGACTTTAACTGCAGAAACAAGGTAGGGATTGCAATTGTTGATAGAATTATTTCACCAGGTTTCCTTAGATCTAGTTTTTAAGTAACGTTGCCCTCAGCTGTTTATATGGTTTTGCTCTTCTGAGATCTTTTAGTAGGATTTTTCCTGCCTGTGGCAACCTCTGTTGCAGATACTTGCATTTTTTAGCATTCTCATTAAGTTGTGCCACTGGTCCTGGAGAGGATCAAGTGGCAGTTGTTTACATGGACATATCTGGTTATGGTATACCAGTCACCCGTCATCCTGACAGCGAGGGAGCCATGCATGTCATATGTGCATATTAAGGACAGCACAATTACTTTCCCATTAGAAATCACCATCAGCTTCTTCTTACCTTCATAATCTTGGGCTAATGAAAACTAAACCCCACAATGCCATTTCTTCTCAAATTTCAAGGGCTGATCCACTAACATCACAAAGGACAAATTACTTTTAATTTCCTCTTGTCTGAATGGAGAGTGTAATATATGCTATCTGAATTGTGGTAAGGATTAAATGAAATTTATTTCTATAAAATCCTTAACACAGAAGAACTTAGTAAATACTTAATAATGGCTAATTTTTGTTGTATTTATTATTACTGGTTCTGGTTAATGAATTTTTCATAGTGTTCTAGCAAAAATAATCTCTGTCTCCTTTCTTTTTACATAGATTGATTTCTCTTTGCATTGCTATGGATCTTTCACATTGCTAGCAGTCTTTCACATTTTTGGGGAGGACCGGTTGTCTGGGAGAAGGGAAGTGGTGCACAGGAGTCAAAGATCAGAGAAGAGGAAGGAGATTTCCCAGCTGGGAAATAGCAAAGGATATCGTGTGATTTACTTAGGCTAAGGCTTCAAAACTAAAAATAGACTAACTTTTGATCAAGGTCCCCTATATTATATATTAAATGAGTTGGGGTAGAAATGCCACCACTTGTATAAAAAACTAAACATAACAAGACAAAAGGCAAGCAAATAAACATAAAACACAATAGCACAGTGATTTTGAAAACAGCATTACAGTCACTAGTTTTGAGGTAGGAGGATTTAAAGAATTATTAACACAAATCACAATTGTGTCTTGTACTATGTCTCGGGTGCCTTTTGATTGTATTTTATTTATAATATGACATTATTTTTTTTTCCCTCAGGGTGGAGGAGGCAGTCATCTTGACTTACTTTCCTGTGGTTCATCCGGTCATGATTGCTGTTTGCTGTTTCCTTATCATTGTGGGGATGTTAGGATATTGTGGAACAGTGAAAAGAAATCTGTTGCTTCTTGCATGGGTATGATGTTTATATCTTTTCTTTATTATAGATTTTAAAGACCATCTGGTAATGTATTATTTTTTCATTAGTCCACAAGATTAGGGAACAGTGATAGCAGTAGCAACATCCTGTTAGAAGGGAAACTTTCTTTTCATGAGAGATGACCTCAATAAGAGTATTTGCTGTACTTATACAATTAGGTATGAAAATATCTATGCTATTTAATTATTTTACTCTGGCTATGTGTTGACATTTTTGATTGGAAGTATGTATTCTTGCTAATGTCACTGACCTTATTATAACTCAAAAAGGCCCCTTGGGACTAACACCGAGAAGTCATGAAGGAACGCTGTTTCTTTCTCTTCTTTTTTTTTTTTTAAACAAATCCACTATATAAGGCCATGTGCAAATTCAAGTGGTAAGATAGCAGACATAGAGTTTAGTGAACATAAGTAAGTCTCTTTTTTAAAAAAACTTTTTTTAAAACTGTGAAAGAGTTGAACTAGATTACTTTCTAAATTATTTTCATTATTCAAATTCTATGATGATGATTATTTTTTTTTTGAGTTGGAGTCTCACTCTTGTCACCCAGGCTGGAGTGCAGTGGCACGCTCATGGCCACCTCAGCCTCGATCTGCTGGGCTTAGGCCATCCTTCTGCTTCAGCCTTCCAAGTAGCTGGAATTACAGACGCACACCACCATACCCAGCTAATTTTTGTGATTTATTGTAGAGATGAGGTCTCACCAAGTTGTCTAGGCTGGTCTCAAACCGGGCCCAGGCAGTCCTCTCGCCTGGGCCTCCCAAAGTACTGGGATTACCAGCTGAGCCACCGTAGCCAGCCCTATGATTAATTTTTTAATTCAAAAGTTAGCAAACTCTTTTTTATCATTAAAAATTTGATTCAATTAAAAATATCATATATAGGGTGCCTGAACGAAGCATATTTGTATACCTAACCCTTAACTGTACCCCACAATATCAAAATAAAAAATATTGATTATAAAAAAATAAAAAATAAAATAAAAAAATAAAAATAAAAATATCATATATATTGATTTCTAGGAAAGCAGTGAGTTGTAGAAATTGTGTTACTAGGACACCTGGTTTTGAGACTGCTAACGTCTAATTGCAGACATATAAGACCAAAATATTAATTTATTGAGTGTATTGTTTTCTTTGTAGTCGGTCTCAGCCCTGGCTGTGCATTAATTTCATATAGAGAACTTGAAAAATTGGAGTGGTGTGGTGGAAAGCTGGATCTTTGGGCCGAAAAAAACCCCAATGATTTGTAGCATTTTAGGATTTTTTTCGGTAGATTCTCCCAGCACAATTTCAACTTACCAACATGAAATCACTGAATGCAGAGCTGGGGACAGATGAACACACATTGGCTCTAGGAGCCAGCCCTCTCCGCCCAAGCACTTACTTGCCTAGCTCCCATGCCAAGCCAATTAAAACAGAATCTTAGTGTTAAGCTGATCTAAAGCTTTGGATTTTACAGGACAATCTGTGTTAACGTATTACTTGGCTTCTTGGAGGATAATTTCTCAGGTCAATAATGGGAAAACAGAAAATTTTGTAGAAAATAAATCATACTTAGAGAAGGGGAAATGTGCCTACTGCCTGCTTCTCTCCATAGGGGTATACAATGAAGAGGGAAATGGTGGAAAAGTGTGGAATCTTATTTTGCAATTTTAGATATTTGGACAATCATTTAAACATAAACTAAAGGGCTTATTTATGTGGACCTTCTGTAAAATGAGGGATGTATAATATATTTTAAACTTTAAATTAAAAAAAAAGTCAGAATGAGACCACTGTCTTACCAGGATGTCTCACTTACATAACCAGTTTAAGCACGACTCCATCTCTCTTCCTTCTCCCAACTTTTATTCTGGGTGGCTCCTATTTAGAAGGACACAGAGGGGTGGGGTTGGGTATTTCATGGAACCACAACGGCTTTTGGGAACACATTTTGAAACCATTTATGCATTTCATTAGGCTGCTAAATGCTAGTAAAAGTAAGTTGACAAATAACACAGTGATTGGGAGGTAGAACAAACCATAGACTTATGAATGAGAGTCTAGTTACTGGAAGGAGCACAAAGTTGGCATGGAGAACTAAGGTTCTTATGACCACTAACTTATTCATTCATCCATTCTTCAAACACTTATTGAGCACATATATACTACCAGTTTTTGTCATCAGACCAGCGTGTTTGATAGACAGAAGATTCCAGTACTCTTTAGTAAGACCTCTGGTAGGTTTTCTCCAGGTGTTCTGAGGCCAGAGAGGAAGATCTCCAAGCTCAGCACTGAAGGGTCAGAGCTGGCTTCTGGAGGGATGCTGAGGATAGATTACTACTGCCTTTTTCCATCCCTTTCTTCTGTGGGTGCCATCTATATCTTGGTTGCTACTTCCCATGGACTACTTTCGGCAGCTCATTCTCCATTCCCATTTGGGTTGCCTCTCTTCTTATGGAAAGTTTCTAGACCTTATTCACCCAGCACAGCTTCTTTTCCCTTTCTCAAGAAAGATTTGTGGTCCCAACTCCTATGTGTCTATCACTCACAACCAATCTGCATCTGGTCTGCTTCTCAGGCAATTTCTTCTCTGGCTTCCTCCCTAACCTCCCTCCTCTAAACAACTGCCAAGTCTTGTTGGTTCTGATTCTACAAAACTTGTCACCTCTTTTCTATTCTCCTTCAGGACGCCCAAGTTTAGGCTTTCCTACTTCTCGCTTTAACAGAGGAGTCCCTTCAGTAATCTTCCTGTCTCTTTTGTCTTCCAATCTGCTCATAACCAGTGCTACCGGGTTAATCTAGTGCAACTGCCATCATATTACTCCTCTGTTCCGAGACTTTGAAAGACTCTTCATTGGGTAATGCAGTATTTACAGACTTCTCAAACTTTCATCAAGCCCTTCTACAATCAAGTGTTCCTCTGCCACTTTTAGCTTTCTTACCTACTTCATTATGCTCTGGTCCACCTGTATTTTCTGATCCCTGCACAGTCTTTTTTTGCTTCATTCTTCCCTCCTTTCATTCTGACTGTCTTCTTAACTGGGAATTTCTTCTCAGTACTTTTGTTTATATCTTGCTAGTCCAGTTAGATTTATCTAAAATGTTACCTCTTGAAATAATAACTAGGACAATGTTGATGGTGACAACTAAAGTAGTTAACATCTCTCAAGCTTACAGTGCCAGACACTGTAGAATTTTATGTGAACTTTTTATTCATGAAGAATTTTACATGAATTAATTCATTTTATTTTCTCCATGATTCTACTGAGGTAGGTACTATTATTATTCACTTGATATAGATGAGAAAATGAGGTACAAAGAGGTCAAGTAACTTGCCTATGTCTTCACAGCTAGTAAAGTGAGGATCTGGTACTTAGACCATGGCAGTCCAGTTTTAATAAGATACATGTAATCATTTTGCTCTTTTACTCTATAATTGCTGACTTTTCCCAAATGCTTACAAATGTGTTTTGTAATGTGTAAAACATTTTACATACGATTGTTTATTATAAACCTGACAATAGTCATATGAGATAGGTAATTATTAAATGAGATTCAAAGAGGTCAGTAATACGTCCAAGGTTATTTAGCAATGTGGGATAGTGCCAAGCCTATTGTCACTGGGCCTTTACTAATGTCTCTAATAGACTTCTCTCAACCTTTAAAGTCCTGTGTATTGCCCTTCTTATATATTTTCTTTTATAATCAGCACAAACTACGAGACTGCAAGCAACTCAGTAATATGAATTATTCACCTTGTGTATTACTTTAATAAATCTTTGTTAAATTGAATAATAGACAAGAAATTAGAACAGTGAGGACAAGAATGACCAGAGCATCAGCTCGAAGATGGTGTCTGTAAGGCAATGATGAGAGTAAGGTTTTAGTGGAGAAACGTGGCTATTAAAAAAGTTTAGATTACAAGAGGGAATGGCTCATGGGGGCGGGGAGTTAAATTAGTGCAGAATGTGACATGATGTTAGGTCTCTGACAAATATTTACAAAGCAACTCTCATTTTTTTTTCTTTTGTGCCCTTTTGCCTTCTGTCCAAACTAAAAACAATTTTTTAAGGAAGTTTCTTACTTTTATTTTGGATATAAATATTTATACAAGCAGAATGCGTTCATCTAACTTGTCCATTTCCCTGTATTCAAAGTCTGCACTTTTAAGACTGGTAAACCAGATTACTGTGAGAAAGTTATTTTTTAAAAAGACAGTTGGTATCTCTGAGAGCTGCCATATCTCTGGAATGATTATAAAGAAAGACATGGCAGGTGGGCTATTGTGCTGTTCAAGCAAAAGTAAAAATGCCTTTATTCACCAGACAGGTCAAGAAAAAGTGAGAGAATCTTCCTCAAAACAGATTTTTCTAATGAACCTCCTTCACCCCTATAAAAAGGCAGCAACAAAAAACCTCTACAAGCTAAGAGGTCATCTATTGGAAAACTTTCTGATGAAACTTGGTCATGAATTTCACTCTTCTTTTGAATTATAGATTTACAGATGTAAGTTGTTAAAACATCATAATTTGAAGTTTTCACATGAAATGCAGAATACCCAGTTAAGTCAGATTTCAGATAAACAATGAATAATGTCTTAGTATGAATATGTCCCATGCAATATTTAGAATAAACATATACTAAAGCATTATTGTTTATCTGAATTTCAAACTTAAATGAGCATCTTGTATTTTTATTTGCTAAATCTGACAAACCTATTTTCATTAGATTTATTCTTTGTAAGTGTGAAAGTATCATAGAACAGAAAATCTATGTATTTATACCAGGAGATTAAGAACAATTAAATTCTAATTATAATGAAAAACAAGCCAGAAACAACTAAGAAAAGAAACTGGAATATGCCATGATGTTCAAAGTAATTTTAGTAGCAGAAATTCCTTCTCTGTTTGAAAGAGAAACTGAAGCTAAATGAAAATTGGTTTTCAGCCTTAGATGGGTACTTCCCAAGGCTTCAGCTGTAGACTAAATGAA